TTAGCACCTTGTACCATCAGCCCAAACCCCTCTCCTCCCACCTCCACGTGCGTCGTTGAATGTTTAGTCAGAGTTGGGCAAATCCGGAATGCGAATTAGTCAGCTATTTCCATTTCTCCTTAGTTCTTGGGTAGAACTGTGCTGCTTGTAAACCTCCATGGCACACACTGGCTACCCCACCCCTGCCCCATCCATCCCCAGGGGCTCTCGGGGGCCTCACCCTTTGGAATAGACTCGGTGTTTGCAGGCTTCCGAAACCGGAAACCTGTGCCCCCCCCCCCCCCAGCACTCCTGCTCAGCGGCTGCGCAGTTGACATATTTGCAGGTACGGCTTTCAGCCCCCTCCCAGTCAGTGCCTCCGGGGCCCCTGGAGTCCTTCTGCAATCTCCTCTCAAATCTTGCCAGCCTCACGCATGCAATTGAGAGGCTCGGAGCTAAACACCGCCAGCCAGGTGTGCTCTCGAGAGTACGCCGCGGCAATTACTACTACAGTGAGAAGAGAACTCATTAATTCGAAATGAAGTGGAGCAGGAACAAAGTTGTGTCAGAATGACTGAAATTTCTGGGGCTCTCGAGTCGATGGTGGGTGAGGAGTGGTTGCGGGAGTGAGAAAAGACTACACGACCTACCGGGCTACACGACCGGGGACCCACGGCCACACCGTTCAAGAAGTTACAAGGCTAAATTATTCACCCAAGCTGCATGTTTTCCTCTTGGGGTGAATTAAATCGGATTTATTCATTTCTGCTTCACTTTCAGCCATTGCACAACTACTCCATAGGCACTGTGAAAAACTAGGAGCTACATAAAGTGAAATGAAGCAAAGGAAATTCATAATCTATGCATCCAGGGACAACCATTGTTAGCATTTTGATAGATACCCTCCAGATATTTTTCTACACACCTACAGATGTTTAAAATTATTTTTAGCTGGCTTTTAATTTTTTAAAAAAAAATAACAAGCGACAGACACAGAGACCACTGTCCAGAATCATACAGTATTACAGGCATAAGTTATCATCTGTCACCCATCCTAAGAATCACCGGGAATGCTGCTGTAACAAGAAAAACATTGACAAGTTTGTGTACTCAACGTTTGACGTAACAAGGGGAGCTTCAGAAATAGGGACCCAAAGACACGGGCAATGCTGTGTATTTTTATGTGAGGTTCTGTGGAGAACAGGCAGCTGTGTAGAAACGTATGAGTTAATGGGAGTCCATGGCAAGGCCTGTCTGTCCAGATTTCCTTGGCATCTTTGAGTAATACACCTTCCTCTTGGGTATCAGGACCCCACTGGAATGCTGATGGATTTTCCAGGAGAGGGAAAACTTCCCTGGTTTTATGGCTTAGTATGGTACTAAGCAGATCTAATTTCTATGTCCCATTTTCGGGAAGGGGAATTCAGTTTTCTCCAATTCACACTGCGGGATAAAGTGGGTGGGAGACAGGAGAACATCAGAAGAACCGGGCTCCGAGCCCTTCTGGTCCCCGGCTCAAGTGCTCAGCATGTGGAAGCTCCGTACTTGGTGATACAATGTTCTGAGCCTCAGCACAAGGAGTCCCCCATTGTGAGAACCAAAAAACTTCTGTTTCTATTCCTAAAGATCCCTGCAGGGGAAAACCCGTCCCCAGCCAGGAGCAACTGCATGCCACGCCTTCTGGCACCCAGCGGCCCAGGGCCAGATCTGGCTTCACCACTCTGAATCTTAGGCAAGTTGTTTCTGAACTCCTGAAAGCGGGTATTAGTAACAGAAACTGAGAGGGTTTGTGGGGTAATTAACATGTGTTTCTAACTACCTGTGGAAAGGACTCCAGGAGTGTTGGCTATTAGCTTTACTAGTTAAACCAGAGAGTCTGCAAGCCCAGAAAAATGTTATTCCCCCTCACATCACCATGGCAATCACTGATCAAGCCCTCGCCCGTGGACCCACCAGGGCAAAGTGGGTCCTGATAAGCATACTCTTAGGTTTCCAAAGAGTTCACTGGTCCCTGGCCAAGCACATGGGTTGCCTCATTTCATCTTAACAGCACCCTTATCTTGTGAGTTCCGTTATTACCCTGGTTTTACAGATGATGAAACAAAACTTCATTTTTATGTGTTTTTTTTTTTAAAGATTCAGTTATTCTCCTGTTTCTCTTAAGTGAGTTTTAAACATTTTAATTTTCATTTGTCAATTTTCATCTTATTTGAAAGGCAGTGAGACAGAGAGGACAGATGTAGACAGATCTTTTATCTATTGCTTCACTCCCCAAATACCTGTAATAGCTGGCCTAGGCCAGGCTGAACCCAGAAGCAAGGAATTCATCCAGGTTGCTCATGTGTGGTTGGCAGGAACTCAAGTACTTGGGCCATCATCTGCTGCCTCCCGAGCTCATCAGCAGGAGGCTGGGTGGGAAGTGGAGGCAGGATTCCATCCTAAACATTCTGCTACGGGATGGGGGCATCCGATGCAGCAGTTTCACCTGCTGCACTGCAAAGCCCATCCTCTAAACTAAACTTTAGGAAAATGACTCTGTGGCCACATAGTTAGCAGGTGGCATAGTCACAGTGGAAGACAGGCAATCTGATTGGGAAACTCTGAGTCCCTCTTCCATATGACTCTATTGTTGGTTTTACCAGTGAGCAGCCCAGTAGGATCAGTCAGGGATGTGTGTTTTGCCACAACACTGTCCTTGCTTGGCACAGATAAACCAGCAATGACTGTTTCAAAAAAGCATGAGGCACCTAGAACTGATTAGCATTTTGGATCTCAGTTATGAAAAGGAAATTGAGTTATTGTTTTATAAGTGGGGCGAGGAGGACCACGTCTACAACCTATCCTCTCTGGAGTCCTGGCTCCATAGGCAATAGAAAATTGTGACAAACCCGTATAGACAAGACTCTGTGGAATCAGGCAGCCCCTGGCAAAGCAGGAATCTGCATTGGATGGAGGGAGTACTAAGATGTGCTTATCAATTTAGTTCTAATGACAACCCAAGCAGCTCTATCTTGATACTTGCTTAACCGACTTTTCCCCCTGCTTCCTATGAACAGAACTGGTACTGGCTGCATTTCATCATTAAAGAAAGAAGTATTCCTTTATCTCTTAACATATTCCAGCAAACAGCCCATTCAGCTCTCCTCACTATGAGCGCGTCCGCTCTTTTCTGTCATGGCACACACAGACTAAAATAAAGAATTTCCACTGATAACTTTAAAATCAATTCTTCAGAAACTCCAACTGAATTTTGCCATCTCAGCCTTGATGGGCATTTTCACTGTGGCATTGGAAACTGAATATAAAAACTGAGTGAAAATGGTTTCGAAGTTTGAAGGCCTCACCATAGCTTTTTGAGTGCAATAATCCAGGAAGATGGTAAAAATACTTGGGTTTATTGTTTACCACTGATAAAGAACCAAAGCATAGGCACAAACTGCAGAAACAGTCCAGGATTTCCAATCCAGTCTGAACGTCAATTGTAAAGCCTCCCCCACAGTTACCTCAATGCTTGTGTCCTTCAAAGAGGCTGTGACGATCCACGATGGGGCATTCTCTGTGAACCCCACTGTCTAAACGCATACCATTTTCTTTTACTTTTCAAAAAGAAGGGGAAATCTGCATTACTTTTAGACCAAAATGAAGGCAAGATAGGTGCTGAAGTGAATCAGCTCATGAAGATTTGGTAAATTTTTCTGGTTTCAGGCTGAGTTCAAGTTTTGAAATGTTTACGTCCCAAAGCAGAAGAAAATGATCATAAGAACTGATGGCAGGAAGAATATTATAACCAGGAAGTAAACATACTATTTATAAGTTATTCTAAGGATTTCTGGGGCTGGCACTGTGTCATAATAGGTGAAGCCTCCATCTGCATTGTTGGCATCCCCTATGGGTACCAGTTCACATCCTGGCTGCTCCACTTCCAATCCAGCTTCCTGCTAATGGGACTGGGAAAGCAGCAGAGGATGGCCCAGGTACTTGGGCCCCTGTACCCATGTGGGAGACCCAGAAGACACTCCTGGTTCCTGGCTCAGGCCTGGCCCAGCCCCAGCCATTGCTGCCATTTGGGGAGTGAACCACAGATGGAAAATCCATCTCTCTTTTTCCTTCTATCTCTGCCTTTCAAATAACTTTGAATTCAAATAAATACAAAAGTTCCAAATATTTCACTAGTGTTGATGTCTGTGACATAAAAATGCCCAAATGATGCAGTATTAGCTGTAATTGTCACCTTTATTTATCAAAACACATTACTTGGATACACTTCTAAGTCACTGGCTTAAATGTCTGAATAAGTTTGAATGAATGCAGTGCTTCTGGGAGTAAGAATGTCGGCATTTTAGAAAGCAACTTTCCACCACGAAATCAAGGTACCATGTTGGAGACTCCAAAAGATATTTTCTGTCTTACATGTCTTTTTCTTAAAGAAACCCCAAATGAATTGGCTATTCCATATTCTAGGAAAAGGTCCAAAAGATTATGATTCAGGGAGAAAAAGTTAACAATTTCAAATTTGACTGCTGTGGCGTTTACCTTACGGAGTGTGTTTGTCAATACTCACAGGGCTGTGACAGGGAAGTATGTATTTTCCTGTATGAATTCAAAACAAAAACTGGGCAGGGTATCTTCTTGAGTGTATTAAAACAAATTCTAATAAGCTATTTCAATCTAAGTAAGAAACTTGGTGCCAAATATCAATGAGAAGTGACACAAAACAAGCACATTATGAACATCCAAAAATCTGGCTTTACAATGGAAATGTTGACAGCTTCTGAAATTAAATAGCACTCGATCACTAATTTTCTTTGAGGGTAAGATTCGTACCCTGCTGGGCTTATAATTTTGTTTTCTCTTTTTGGGCTGTTCATGTGTAAATATTGCCAATTTCATTTGACACAAAAAAGGAAAACAATTTTGTTTCTGTGCTAATGAGTGACACAGAATACTACCCTCTAGCAGAGGTGGAGTAAGACAAGCCTCCTGGCAGTGATGAGAGTGGGGAAGAACCACACCATTTCAAATGTATTTGTAACAAGGAAACAAATTTATTGATTTTAAAAGACAAGACACCATTTTGTTTTGAAAAACACAAGAAAGCTAGCCTGAGTTCAAGTCTGAAATATTCAGAAAAATCCTACTAATATCTTTAGTATGTTCCAGTCATTTGTTTAAACAACACACTAAAAGTTAATATATATTTTTATCATTATAAAAGTTCCCCAGTTATTGTACAGTACACAATACAAATCGCCCACAAACTATTATTTAGCTCCTGCCAATTTTGAGAGGACATGATATACTAAAAGATTTAGCATTTCTCACAAAAATCACATCAGGAAATACGTATTTACAAAATCAAATACATTATACAAAAAACCATCACATGTTATTCGGTAAAGATGTTTTTAAATAATTAAAAAGTTTATTCAACTGTAGTCCAAAAACTGGAAAAGAACATTACATTATCTCACACATACAATCTCTACAAAAGTTGCTTACCTCATTTACATAATATATTCAGTCGATTGTAAAATAAATGTTCAAATATCTCCTAGTGTTACTATGTTTGTGTGCTTGTGGGACTGAATAATGTAATCTGCCACTTACTAAGTGAAATTTAAATGATGGCACTTAAAAAAAAATACAGTATCTTAAAAAAACACAATGAAAGAAGTTTTACCTAGAAGGTACGAAAGCCCTGAGTGATAGTAGAATTACTGATTGGTAAGCACTACAATTAACCTAATTAAAAGTTTACCACCTCAGGCACAAATCTCCAAGTTTTCTCAAGGCACTCACTTAAAGTTTCTGTAACCAACGCATTGGTCACCACCATAGGTCCAAATCGATGATGGAGATGAGTAGAGAAAAAAATTTGCTTTGGTACAAAAGATGCTTTTTAAACTATTAAATTCAATACCTCCTTTATTGGATCATTGAAAATTATGTTTAGCAGGTCAAAATAAGGCAATCGTTTGATCACAAATACTAATTTATTGAAGGAAAATTTTACTTAGTTATGAACAGTCAATGGGAGTCTAATTGTTTTTCCTTCCCAGAATCAAAATTCTAACACAGATTTGTTGTCTTCTTTATTGAACTACATACACAATTCTTACCAAAGATTTCATTACTCAGGGCTTCCAATCCCAACATCATAATTTATCTTAAAAGCAAAGAAAAGAGGAGGGGTAAAAAGAATCCAATACCAGAACCAAATAAAAGAAGAGACAAAATACATTGTTTAAAAAGACATATTACTAGTTACTTCAAACAAAGGGGGAAAAATCAATCCTAGGCAGTCACTTTGTAAGTGGCTTTTACTATTTAAGTAAAATTGGTAAACTAAACTCAGGTCTACTGGCACATAAAATCACTAGCAGCAATGATCAAGGCATGCAAACTGAGAAGCATTTACAGTAAATCATCATGAAAAATTCAAAAGAAGAGAGTTAAATTAAAACCCTTTGAGTATTGCATGTTAACACATGAGTAATTTGCATGGTTTGACTTCCTAAACTGCCTACAAAGCAACGTTTACGGTATACTTGCACTATGCTACGGATGTCCTTTCAGCAGACATCGGGGTAGATTACACTCTTACCAGCCCCCAGCTAGGGCAGCGCAAGCACATCTGCAGACAACACTGCTCTCACGGTCCATCGCGCAGGGGACAAAGGCGACCGCGTGCAGGATGGGCTTCCCTTGACCCACACCAGCAATGGTGTAAGCAGACTGACACTGAGAGATAGCAGAAGCAGTAGTCACAGCATCTTCTGACACATGAGCAGAAAATCAAGTGCTTTGCTCTCCATTCTATCTATATATAAATTTTTCTGACAAAGTATTAAAGTCTGGAGCATAGGTAAAATTATGCCCTGTATGAAATTCCCAAACAATATTTTATGAGCGATCGAACTCCAAATAGCCTAACTGCCCCCTAAGAGTTCAGCTCCCCTTTATCCACTTGAACTCATTTCTTCCTAAGGCTTCACTTACACTTGTACTTTCTAAAGCTAAATAAATGAAATCTTCTGTTTTGTTTTGGGAAAAAAAAAAGAGAAACATAACCCTTTCTTTATCATACCTTGTAAAGGCAATCTAGGTACCTTCAATGTACAGACATCAGTTAGGACACAGGTGCACACACGCCCATGTGTCTGTCCTCCTTTTCTAGAGTCAGGATGGGAAAGCTAGAAAAGCTGATTTCTTCTTTTCTGTAAACAGTACACTTACTTAGATGGCAGTGAGTATTTGGGAATAAATATATCAAGCCCTCTTGAAGAAAAATTAAGTGTTGTATATAAAATGCAAGTGTTCAGCACGGAAACACTTTCTCTTCGTACCCGCCCCCCCACCCTTAAAAAAAAACCAGCATTATTAGACATTTGGATATAGAGTATATTTTACCGGTCTAAGTCTAAATAAATGATCTTAAAGGCTTTTGTCCCCCATTGTATATCTTACAATGCTCAAAGGGTTAATACAAGGCATTACATCAAAGGGGTTTTCTAATACTAGAACTAAGCACTGAATTAATGCTTCTATTCCAGTTTTTTTTTTTTTTTTCAATCACCAAAGTTGCAGAAATACTAGGATTCCATTCATTGACTTGTACTAACCATGGACATGGAGGTTGCTCTGATTTTGCTACAAGCCCAACTGTCAACAGCACTGCATGCCAGCACCCTGCATCCCACCCCTCCATGTTCCGGCATGATTCATACAGATCACAAACGCTCGGATTTCAATTTTTGGGAGGTTGCGATTTTCTCACCAAGATTTTGGGGCGGGGGGAGAGGTTACAACCAAGGTAAATTTGTGTATATAACCACTGCCTCAAATTGTACATGAAGGAGACTCGCCCAGGTTTTTACCTTCTACTTGTGTCCACACAGGGAGGACCAACATCACAGTGACACACCTTTTTATTCTCTTACACTAATGTTTCAAGCACAGTATCATTTTAGACATCTCAAATATATCATCTGAAGACTTTTTAAAAATCTGAAAATGCATTTAGCACTTGTAGACAGTGCGTCACGTAAAAAGGTTCATGATCACGGTACCCAAACCGCATTCATTCCTGAATGACTGTGACAGCATTCTACAAGAACGTGTTCAGTTTTACTCATCTACTACAAATCAAAGGCAGTCAATGTTGCACACTACTAATTTTAGGTATGCAGTGTTAAAATCATTTTCTAAAGTTTACGTTTTAAAGTACACCACCTAAAGAGAGGTGCATGAACCGTGCTATACAGTACAAGAAAAAGCACAGAAAGAAAAGCAGATTTCTGAAAAGGCAGTAAGACTTATACAGTCAGTCCAAACCTAGTTTGGATGAAAATCCTGGAAAAAAAGTGACCAGCAACTTGATAGCCAAAGAAAAAATTGAAAATTGAGCCCTGTGTTCCAAGAAGATGGTTCACCCATTCCACCCTATTGTTCACTGGTTTCACAAATGCAAATATTTTGGGCATGATTCTCAAAGTATATGTCAAGGATCAAACTATATCCATGATGCTCAATCCTATCAGACGGAAAGAGTTTTCAGAAACTTAAAATAGCTTAGATACCTTCTTTCCTTCCATTCTTCCTCACAGAAAGTGTAGCACTTGGTTTACACAGATACACTTCATGACTCGTATTTGACTATCATGTCAAGAATGATCAAGAAGTCCTTAAAATATGTACTTGTATCATGTGTCAATAAACCTACCCTGAGGGTATTAGTGTCTAGTACTATGTAAAAAGTAAATTTGAATAAATGAAAAAATTGGAACTAGAATGTTCAGTAAGTACAATACACAGGACTGCTCCAATTCACTCGAATGTATAAATTACTATATTTTCTAATATATTTCACAATTAAAATTCAAAATTGGTGAAAATATCTGTGTATGCTTGAATGGGTGTATGTGTGAGCATGTCTGACTGTGGACTACAAATAAGTGGAAGTAGCGTAAACCAAAGGTCTTCTTTGTGTATTGGTCAAAACCATCTAGACTTGTCACAAAGAATTAATAGTCCTAAGTATTCATCAATATTATTGTTAAGTCAGGTTTAAACATAATAATATGTTAATCCCTAATCTGGCCTAATTCAGAATAAACCATGAACAACTGGAAGAAATGCTGAATCCTGGAGGGTCCCCAATCCCTAACTCTCGTGAGTCTACATTTGCCTGTCATTACCAGACTCCTAGATGATACACATCCAACACGAAATTAAAGGAGGCAATGATAACAGACACATGTACGGTCATTCAATAAACGAGATGAAACCAGTAAGTACATTTGGTCCAAGACAAATATCATTTAGTTCTGGGGACGGCAGGCAGAGATAAGAAACTGGAAAAAATCAGAAAGGAGAGGCAACATGAAGACTGTGTCTAGATTTTTTTGATTTCAATTTCACCTGTAAACATTTCCTAATGCACAATTAAGTAGATGCATGGCCTTTTTCAACTGACTATGTTGTGTGTGTGTGTGTGTGTGTGTGATGGCACACACTTATTGGTCACCTTTTTGGGAGGGGAAAGGCGGATGTTAATTTAAATGACATTTAGGTATAGGTGATACTAGGATGCCAATGAAGATTGCAAATACATGAGTCAGTTGTATAATACAAAATTCGAATCCACTTAAAAGTTACATCTAAAACATTTACATTTTACATTAAAAACTTTGTGGATCTTTATTTGAGTGGTCTCAGGCAATCAAGTAACAGATAAGCCATTTGGTATTTTTCACTTCACCGATTGGCTCATCTTCTTTCTAATCCCCAACCCCACCCCCGAACCCCACCCCACCCCACCCCACACAACTGGAAAGATAAACATCTTGAATTTACTATAGGCCTCATCAATAATCTGTAAATCATTTTGTGCTTTCCTTTTGTCTTTTTGGCTTTATTTTTGCTGCTTTGAGTTTTACAACAATTTCAATGAATGGATGTGCCTTTGCTGTCGTTGCCGTTAATAATGTGAGTGCTTGGAAGAACCTTGGCTTCTCATGAAAATTAAAAGGGGTGGGTGCACCCTCTCCAGGATCTGACATGACTGTGGTGCAGATTCCTGCCCGACCGGCTCCCAGGTGTGCATGTGGACACCTAGACACACAGACAAAAACGCCTAGACTGAAAAGATGCACTTCGATAAGTACCTGCTCATCTTGTTAGCTTTCTAGAACTGTACCTAGATAAGAATGGTCTAAAACATAGATGAATTTATGTAACAAGTTGGTATTAAAACTAGCCTGCTATTTCACACCCTTAAGCAATGTGATTTGTAATCAAGTAATAATCAGCTCTAAGAATAAAAAATAGGCTCATGGTCACTCAAAGAGGGAAACTGATTTTTGTCTTTTTGTTTTCCCTAAATTTCCTTTGAAGAACATGTAACCCGTCCTAACTTCAGGAATCTGAAAATGACAGGCACACTTTGTCAAATGGATTGAAGAGTTACTCACATGAACAAAATAAACCTTACTAAACCTTAGCTTCAGTTCTGTTTTAAGGCACCATGTAATAGCCGAGGTACGATGATCCCTGATGTACATTCTTCAATGGCAATGGTCCATCCAGCCACCTATCCAAATCCTACAGAATTGGGAATCAGTAACAGTGAGGTGTGCCAGTTACACTGCCTTCAGGTTCTGGTTAAAATTTAAATCCATGTACTTTAGAAACCAGGAAATATTTTTGAAGGAAATAACGATATGCAGGTTGCTACATTCCTTGCATTCTATAAATTTTCTTTTATAATAGCAGCATATTGAACTACTATTAGGAAAAATGACCTGGAATAAAAGAAAGTCATCCAAATGGAATGGTTTCCTGTATGTCCAGCTCAGCATAAGTAGCATGTACACTTAAAAAAAAAAAAAGTCAAGTCATTTTTTTCAGCTTCAGTATCTAACTAACTGCCCCACTTAACAGCAGAATGCATCTGTGCAGTGGTCCCAAATACAGAATCAGTAGTCTTTAAACAGAGGAATTGGTATGCAAATAATGGTTAAAATTCAATGTCTAACGGAAGCTTGCATTGTTAACATGGTTTAATAATTATGTACACAAATTATGTACATATTAGCATAATCTCTTGCAATTCTGTCATTTACTCTGAACTGCTAAACGCACAGCTCAATTTTTCTTCAGAGAAAAATAAATGACCTTTCCAACCCTCTAGCACTATTATAAAAATGCTCTGTATTCTTTTTCCATACTCCAAAAAGTTATCAAAATAGTGTCTTACGGTTCTGTCCAACGACAAGCACCTTTCAAAAGCAAATCTGATGCATCTGCTGCCAAATGGGCATGCCTCCAGTGTCAATCAAAGAAATTCATTCTTTTGATATTTCACAGAAGTGCATCTAATTTAAAACTTACACATAAAATCATACACCAAGACTAACAATCAACAATAAAATATTTTCAGCTACAAAAATGTAAATTACTTTTTAATTATAAGAAAACAAAAAACATTGACATTAAGTGTTGTAAAAATCCTTCTCGACACCTGAAACTAAGGAGGGGGGAAAAAGACTCTTATTATTAAGAGACAAATAATTTGTTTACGTTAAAAAAAAAAAAGACCTGGCAAAATACATACACCCATTCCATTTCACAACTCCATAGAAGGTAATGTTCAGCACAGATAGAATCTGACAACAGTCGACCTTCAGGCTTCTTGAATTTTCCACGTAAGCCCAGTATCAAGAGGGCTAGTGTAAGATGGAGAAATGCGCTGGCGTCTTCCTTAGACGGCAGTGTAGGTGTTTCCTGTGGCGCTGCACTGTCTGATAGTCTGCGTACTTGTGACAATGTGCTCGCTGTGGATGGGGTTCAGGAGGCTGGGCTGCACGCCGCTCTCGAGAACAGGCTGCATGCAACCCACGGGGAAGGCCTGGCTCAGCTCTGTCTTCTCTCTTTTGGCTTGAGGCTCTGAAGAATCATCCAGTTCTTCATCCATTTCACTTTCTACTTCACTGCCTTCATCTGCACAGACAAGTGACACCAAGACTATTGTTAGCAGAAGACAAACTGGAACAGGGCAGTCAACATGTGCTCCAGAAACACCGGAACACCCTGTGAGTCAGCTATCTCTTAGCTCCTCTCAGAGGTTACCCTGCGATTCGTTGGATTGAAACATGTTGGCGCTGTACTGAAGCACTTACAACTCTTTTAAATGTTGTAAAGATAGTTTATTTTGGCAGTTTGTAGTCAACACTGTAAACAGCTCTTTAATAAAGGCCTCTGGAATTTCCTAAAGCTGTGTGGCCATCTGGGGAGTGAACCAGCAGATGGAAGACCTCTCTCTCTCTCTGCTTCTCTCTATGATTCTCTTTCAAATAAAAAATATATTTTATATTAAATAAAAGATAGTTATAATGGAATGTCATTTACTTTTCTCTAGCAGCACTAAGTTCATAGAAAATGCTCACACACAGCTGTCTTAGTGTGCTTGGTAGAGAACACCTCTTCAGGAGGTATAATTCTGAAACAGTGGAGAATATATTCCTGCCTTAGAAATATTTTTATTGTTGATAAAATGTATACACACAATCACATCAAACACCTCACCTAAACCTAAAATATTTCTATACTTTGTTAGCTGTCTATTCAATTCTACGCTACTCCGTGGCACAGCAGGTATAGTGAGTGTATAATGTGTATCTCTTCAATCAGAGTAAGTACTGAGTCTAATTTACCATTTGGGGGACACCTCCAGAAGAAATCTTAGCCAGTGCAGCTCTTCAATGAAATGGGTTCCTTGACTTTAATTATCAAACGGGGCAAAAATGATTCTAGGGAAAAGAGATTGGGAGCAGAAGGACTTCTGCGTGTGGCTGTGCAGTGCTCAGTCACCAGGAGCTAGGTCCTAGAGATGGTGTGTGTGATTCAAGAGCTGGGATCAGCCTGTGTGTACTGGCTAGAAATGGCCTGGAATGTAGACTGATAAACAAAGAAGTATTCTTAGATGAGGCCAGACAAGTTGCCTATCTGTTTCATCTGGTAACCATCTGTCCTCAGGAGAATAAACTTGACAATATGAGACTCTGTCGGGACAAACCTATAGGAAGGGTGGGGCAGGGACAGCGATCCCTTGGGGAGACATTGGCTTCATCAAGAGGGTGTAACTGAAACATAACTGTGTGATAGCTTTAATTGTGTTTCTGCATCTGTTTATAAATAAACCAAAAATGGGTAGAAGCATCATCATACAAACTCTTAATTGTGGTAGTCTCTTGGAGCTGGGACTATGGAGTTTTTACTTTTAGATTCTAACTCTGCATTCTTTACAAATTTTCAACAGAGCCAATTGCTTTTATTATCAAGGAGAAAAAATCCTCATTTTGTGGGCAAAGCCCACAGAAAGTCTTAAGACTTAACATTGAGTCTTTAGGCACTGAGTATGCCAGGTTGGTTGTATCCCAAGAGTACCAGGCCTTGGGGTGAATGGGGACAGCACAGTCATATCGAGGAGGTGAGGGCATATCACCCTGCTTCTTAGCTCCTTCTCCATAAACTTTTCTATGTCTGGGAAATAAATGGCCAAATAACAAAAGAGGCACTGAAAGGGAAAAAAAAAAATCATTTTCCAGCAGGTGGGTGAATCAAGCCTTACTGCCTTACTGTGGATGGACATGGCAGTGAGTTTATAGGGTAAACAAACTGAAGTGTTCCAGGTCAGTTTCACTTTGGTCCATTTCTGGGTTCTTTGGGGTGTAGACCATAAAGTGAGCCTCAAAAGCAACACCTTTTTCCAGTTCCTGAGCAGTGCAACTCTGTGGGCATTTTACGCTCCTACAAAGACCTGGAGACATTTCCTAGGAACCTACTTGGGGTTGTGGAAATACGGCCTGTAGAAACTAACACGAGGGCTGCTGGAGCTCTGCCAGCATCTCCCAAAGAAGGCTGGCTGTGGTTCTGTGTCTGACGGGGCAGCAACACTCCTAGGACACCACTGGGGACCCCGGCGTGAAATCCCCAAGATGAGGCTGGGAGGGTGGGAGTCAGGGCACTGTTAGTGTTGCTTTGTGTTGAGCATGAGTTCCCAATGCCACCTTTTTGACTTTAAAGTTACGGATGAGAATCAGCAGTGATTCGTTTTGCTGAGAGCTATTTGGTGGAATCCTATACAGCAGGGGTGCAGAACCTTTTTTTTCTGCCAAGGGCCATTTGGGTATTTATAACATCATTCACCTGCCATTCAAAATTATCAACTTAAAAACCAGCCTGCAAAGAATTATTGTGACCCACAGGCCAGACATTCCCCACCCCTGCTCTAGGGTTTGTATTTACAGCAGCAATATTTTTTTAGCTCTAATTTTCTAATTTCCCTGTGTTGTCACTATGCATATGACTAAAACAGGGATGAAGGCACACACAATAAATAAGAGATTTAAGGGAGCTTAACATGAGAATGATGCTGGCTCACGCTATCTTAATGCTTTCCACCACCAGGACCCAGGCGCTGAGCACTGAATATCTTGGTGCACTAGGCCCCGGAGGGCAGTGCCGCACGGCTTCACAGACTCTCCTGAGACTCCCCACCGACCCTGACCCGGAAGCACTGATGGTAGCTCTCCCCAGTCTTTGAGCCTTCTGTCTCCCTGTCTCCCTGCCTCCAGAAGTCAACATCAAGGACAATGCCTGCTTTTTAAAGATAGTGCTCTGTTGACTGGTGTGTTTACTAGAAGATGTGCATGTGTTTAAAACTGTCCTGTATCTTTATCGGAGATGCCTTTGCTTGTGCTCTGCTTTTTCAGTTGGGTAGTGTTTGTGGGCTCTATCTCGAGCTCAGGTCCTCCTTGTGCTTTTTATTGTGTGGTCCTGTTGTCGGGAGGTTCTTTGGGAATACACAGCATGTATCCACACCATACTGTACATTAGAATAGCAATACTGGTGTCAAAACTTAAGAAGTACGCATGTTACTCTCAACTGTACCACCATGGAGCTTGCTTATACAGTAAACATGATTGCCATCTCCGAGGTCTTTTTCTACAGGAAAGTGTGAACTGGTGAGGTAAATGGGCTGAAGAATCTTCTTTTGCCTGACAGGCCTTGAATAAAAATGTCTGGCCCAATTTTATCTCTTTTCTCCAGGACTCTGGCCATCATCAAAAGTAATTTCTTACTGTAATGAACTTCAGGCAAAAAGTTTTAGAAAAAAAAGTTTGTAACTGCATTTAAATTCAATTTCCTGCATTTAATATACTTCACCTAAGGAAGGCACAGGGATGCAGAGAAAGGGAGATACAATGCAGGAGTCTCGAAGACTCAGCTAGGATTTGTACACCCTCACAAAATCAGACTGCTGCAGATATACACTCCATTTTTCTCTTGGAGAATATTTGAGTCAAACAGAAGTCATTAAAAATATACATTTATTTTCCATTCTTACCTTTATCCAGATTTCCAGGAGACACAGCATTTAAATCACCAAACTGTAAAACAATAGTCATTTGTGCAACAGTTATGATCAGGCAGAATAAAATAAGATTCTATCAGTCTGTGGTTAAAAACACCAGTTTATGACTTTTTTAAAACTGTAAACTAGTGGCCATTTTTATCTCTAACTACACAGGTCGTATAATTTTCCAATCAAACTTGTCAGATTTGAACAGCTTAAATAATGTCACAATTTAGCTGTCTCTGCAGAAGGCTAACAATTTTCTCTGCTCCATTTTACTTTTTATTGTTTCAACTTAGCAATGAAGCTACAACGGCCTGGATGACCTGGATGAAGAGGGAGTTGGCAGAATAAATGTGGAAAAGCTGCAACCAAGTAGGACACATTAGCCTTGCTCCCACCCGCCAACACACACACACACACACACACACACACACACTCAATGATTCTACATGGAGTCTCTGCATCAGAGAAACACGGGCTGGTGGTTCAGATGAACCCTATTTGGAAAGCTTTATATGAGTTGAAATGAGAACATTATAGAAATCTCAAAGTTGAGCATATTTATTTTTATAAATTTTTTATTTTGAGACATGTATCTTATAATTTGATATTTTTATTTACTAAGCAACTAGGATCCCACTCTAAAAAAGAAAGGAATCTGATCAGCACTAATGCAAACAAAAAAGCTTAAGATAATATGTAATGGCTTAAAACTTATCTTCCACCTCAGCTCAATAGCTTGATGATAATTTTGCAGTGAGAAAATACATTTTGAGAGTCTCACAATATGGATTACATTAAATAAACATCTGAATAGCAGGTAACAAAGCCCATCAGGTGAGGTAAAATGGCAAAACATCCACTTGTGAAATGGTAAATATCACTTTTTGTTTTTAATAAAAAGTGGTTAAGTCATTAATAGAAATTCAGATTTCTCCACAGGCTTATAGAAAGGATGAGACAGAAATTCTACTTATATTCAGAAGCTTGCTCATAAATAGTTCTATGATAGGAGTATTTTTTTCATCTATAAGGTAGATGAAATAAAACATCTTATTTTGCAAACATACACATATTTTTCCCTACCTAAACACATATTGGTCTTCATAGTAGCTACCTTGGGAGTCCATATACTTATTCCAAGGTCCAGAGGTCTGGAATTTCTCTTTGACAATCAGTTTGAAGGTTTAGTTTATGCCTCATTCAAGAAAAGCCATTTTGTTACTTTTACATCTCATTGTGACTCCAAACAACATTTCAAATTTTATTTACTATATTTGGTCTTCAGATGATTTCCTCAACTCACCAAAATCAAATTGGCCTTTACTACAATTGAGGATACTGAAAATAATGTCTCTTTTTATTCATTTTTTTTCCTCACATTTCAGACACAGGTTAAAAAGAGGCATTCCACAACATTTGTGAGTCATGGAAGCATTATTGGACAGATCTGCTGCCTTCCTACCTGACTGTTTTGAAGGGGACAGGGCCTCTCGAATAAGAAAGACTTAACAAGTTTGTTTGGAAGTCTGTCCCATTACTTCATAGTTACATCTCACTTGTAAAATAATATAAAATCTAAAATATTGAACAGGTGTTTTGAAGTTGTTCCAGAGCACATGGGTTAGAATCTTCTATTAGTCTAAATAAAAATCACAGAGCAAATTATGGGATTCTTTGAATTAAATAAGTAAGCCAAGCAACAAAGACTCAAAGAAATTATCAATTTTTGGTATTATTTGAATGTTTTAGAACTATACTCAGAGAATATTCAGAGTTGAAGGATCATTGATATAATATAAATAAACTTTTATTTATTTTAAATGAATATTTAATAACATTTAAGATACAGCTCTTAAGTAAGTTAGCAACAGTGATGCTAAACATACATTTATCCTTGAATACCCCTTATCTGAAAAGTTTGGGGCCAGAAGTGTATTTTTTCAGATTTTGGAAAATTTACATACTCATAATGAGGTATCCTGGAGGTGGGACTCACTCAAATCTAAACATGAAATTCATTTATGTTTCTTATATCTCTTACACACAAAGGCTGAGGGTAAGTTTATTCAGGATTTTTAATGTGCTTACCTTTTCGCTATGACCCATGACATCTTGTCATGCCTATGCTCAAAATGTTTCAAATTTTGCAGAATTTTGGGTTTCAGATTTTTAGATTAGAGATATAAATCTATATTCCACTTGCTGTTGAAAACATGTTTATGACTAAGTTATTATTTCCATTAATAATAAATAATATAACTAAGTGGCTAAGTCAAGCTCTGGACATATTTGAGAATTTCCTTCAAAATAAACCTTATTTGGTACTTAACTCCGAAAACATGACAACCTCCCTAATACAAAGAGTTTCCACAGAAAGTTTCTACTAATCTGAATGAATACACTTGATAACTGAAGATGTTAGAAACAAAAACAACCCAGATCACTAACATAAACACAACTGCATTCTCAGCTCTGAGTTCTCTACTATCCTCTTTGCTGAACAGCTTGCAAAGGACTTCAGAGACACCACCAGTGACTGCATGTCAGACTCAGAATCAAGTTCTACACATACAGAATACAGAGAGTAAAGGTTTGATATAAAAATGCCCTGTCAGGAAGTAATAAGATGTCAATACCCCAACATATTCGAAGGCAAAGTTTTTTTAATACATATTTTACATATGAAATATATATATATATATAATGTTAAGGATAAAACCACTTAAAATCCACAGACAGACTGGGTGAGACTAGGAAAATCAGCTCATTCACCTATTTATTCAATAAATATTTTTTATTGAAAGCTTACTACAGCTGGGTACTGTGCCAGCCAGAAGCAGTCAGATCAGTTTGGGAATACTTGCTCTATACAAAGGCGAGTATAAGTTGTTTATATTAGGAAGTTCAGGTTGTTTAGCAGAAAATGAGGCAGTCTAGGAAAACTTACAGAAGGATTTTAGAAAAAGAAGGTCAAAGTATTGAAGGAGAAATCAAGAGTGTGGGTTTATGGCATGAGCAGCAGGTCAGAGCAGCAGGAAGTAGGGAAGACTCAGGTTGGGCAGTCAAAGACAGGACCATGGACAGCAGACAAATGACAAGTTGCCTACATTAGGCCAGCATACACCCGAAACAGAAAAGGAAGATGAAACAAAGGATTTGTATGGAAAAAACTGAAGTTCACAAGAAAGTACAGAGGGTACAGTAAAGTTGCGGCTCCAGGAGCTGGAAAAGCTTAGCTTTGTGATTCCCCCGCTGCATAAAGGACTGGAGGGGGCGACTCTTCATTGCTGCGACATCTTCCCATTTGGAAGGCACATCTGTGGCTCAGGAAACAGTAGACTTCCTCTCCAAAGCCTCCTTCTCAATATCACCCCTTGCAGAGGCTTTTCCTGCACCCTATCTCATGTTTCTCCTCCACTACCGCTCCCCAGCACTGCTTCCTGCTCACTTTCTTCAAAGTGCCCACCACAGCCTGCAGGCTTTGTTTCCTCATCTACTATGTCTCCCCAGCCAGCACAGTAAGGGATGGGGTTTGCATGTATTCCCTTTGTACATGTACCCCAGGGCCCCGTAAATGGCCTGATACATTGAAGTCTGAATAAATACAAGAGTTATTCCATAAGTCTCTGGAAAAAATGGATAAAAAGGTAAGATTATTTTGGCTTAAAATATTCTTTAAATCCATGCATAGTTTTTCTGTAATATGAATTTTCCTAGAGCTCTTTGAACAGCCCTTATATTTACCAATGAATGCCTTTATTTCATCATTCTAGCTGCTTACACACACCAAAAAACAAGTTTGGCAAGGTTGAGCTTTGATCCTTTGATGACCAAAAACAACAAACTCACTTATCTCACATGATACAGTAAACACAATAGTGTTAGATATGAGAGTAGATGTTAATGACTAAACTGATGCCAGAGAATGTTCTAAAATAAAAACTAGATTCGACCATGGGCAAAGAAAGGCTTCCTATTCCAGAAACCACTTGCTCCAGGTCCTGACTAGGAGTTCTAACAATCAACAAACCAGGATAACAGCAGACTGAGAAAGTCTGTGGTCAAGGCTGCAGTGGGAGTCTGTCAGACCACAAGCACAGATGAGACTAGCAAAGGCCTTGAAATGTGAGTGAGTGGTCAGTACAGCCAGGGCAATAATCAGAAGGACCCCAGAGAGACCCTGAATGTCACCTTGACTGGTGACAAAACAACCGAGGAGCAGTTCCTTATAGCGCACTGAGCCCTACTATCTGCCCTTCTGCAGAGGTGCCACGAGAGGAAACTGGCTCAACACAGGGGAATGCAGTCCTAAGGTGCAGTGAAGGGACATTTGGTCATTGGAGTTCACAGCAGATGATGTCACAGTGAGGAAGGCACAGCTTGTACCATGATACCCGCCCACTGAAACAATGCAATGAAAGTCAGGGAGCCCAGACAGCAAACTGGTGGGGGCCAACAGGATGCTAAGAAACTAAGGCTGAGGACACAAGCCTGGGGGTGGGGGGTGAAAGGAAAGAGACAGGGATCAGGATGAAGATGTCACCCTAGGGCACTTTCCCTGTTGGAAGAATTTACTCCATCGTCGGGGGAAAGGATGAGTAAGTAATCAAAGTAATCACAACTACACTTTGGTTATCCGTATCATAGTTCTTTACAAGCATAGCCATCACTTGTTAACTGGTTCAGCAAATCTCTCAGAAATTCTCCCTGGGGTGGGCTTAGTAGGCTAGGCCTCTGCTTGCATCGCCAGCATCCCACATGGGCACTGGTTCGTGTCCCAGCTGCTCCTCTTCCTATCCAGCTCTCTGATTATGGCTTGGGAGGGCAGTGGAAGATGGCCCAAGTGACTGGCTCCCTGCATCCACATGGGAGACCTAGAAGAAGCTCCTGGTTTTGGATCAGCCCAGCTCTGGCCATTGCAACCATTTGGGTAGTGAACTAATAAATGGAAGAACTTTCTGTCTCTCCCTTTCTCTGTAACTCTGCCTTTCAAATAATTAAATAACTAAAATCTTAAAAATACAAAGA